ATTTTTCCTTTTCTAAATTTTTAAACTGTACTTGTTTTGTCAACATTCTACAAACTTGATTTTTATTACTAAATAATATTATTTTGATGTCATTCATATGTTATAATTTTGGATAAAGTTTAAAGAACACCATGGATGAAAAAACATTTTGGAGAGATAAGCAAGATGTTTGTTATTTTATAAATTTCGAAATGTTATTAAAATTAAGACAAATTTATTTATTAATAATAATTATTGCTATTATTGTAGCTATAAAAGCAGAATAGTTCACATTCGAAATCCATTTTCGATTATCAGTTTTTTTTCTCTCAAAATCACCGATGAATCACTCGAATTTTAGTATACCCGGCTGTTTACTGTTCTCCCAAGCGAAGAGTCTGATATTTTTCATTGCTATGCATTTTCTGATTTGTTATCGCATTCAGAACCTCAAGGACAGTTTGATATCAATTTTGCCATTAGTGACATTCCCGAGTCTTTATTTAAAATCAAAAAAAAGAAACTTTTAGCTTTATGAGAAACAGGACAGACTTTTACATTTTTCCTTATAAAAAAATTGTTCATTTCAATTTTCCGTCTATTTTATTGAAAATTTTCTTTTATGTCATTATGGGGCAGGCGCTTTTAACAAATTTTCAAAATTATGTTCAGTTTTCACTCTCCTATTCATTCACAATTCTTTCTTACATGCTAATTGAACAAACGTAAATAGAACATATATATATATATTTATTTATGTATGTGTGTGTGTATGTGTATGTGTGTGTATGTATATATGTGTGTGTAATGTTTCACGTACTGGTTTTTATATAAGATGATTTTGAACTGTGGTTATTTGACGGAGAAGTGAACTGGATATAAATCCGTTAATGGCCTGTCTTCTTGCCCACAAACGCTAATTAATGTGTTTTGAATCAAGATAATTGATTGATCGATGTGTTCAGTGACGAAAAATTCTAAACTTTGTTCTGAAGAATCAAATGTTTTACTAATAGTTAGGCAGATATAATTGAACAAACAGTATGAAAAACAAAATATTCCCTATTTTTTTCTGATAATTAACTTTTCTGGATTTCTCCACTTCTCTTAATCCAAATTTACGATGCACCTGCTCTTGTCATTATTAACCAGTAGATTAAGTCCATCTTTGATCATTTAATCTTTGTTTATTCGCGAGGATTAAAAATGTGAACTTTTAACGAAAGTGAAAGTTGAATAGAATAGATGGTGACTGTTTTTTCTATGACTTATTCAGGAAAACTTAAAATATTTCTTAAAGATAAGTTTATTTCGAATATACTCAAAAAACGGTAAACCATTTTGACTGAAAAATTTTGAGAAGCATTTCCGGAGACGGAGAGGAAGAATTTTGTTGACTTTGAGTTGAATTCAGAGTTGAGATGAAGTGGATGTATTGAAAAAATGTAGTAGGAAAGCGATCATTTTTAATGAAAAGTATTTGTGTAGCATAAATAAAGGTAATATCAGTGTTTTAAGATGGGGATTAAACTCAGCGTTGAAATTCCTCTTAGAATCATTTATTATGCAAAAATTTTACATATTACATTGGTTTAAAGATGTCAAAAAAGGATTTTATCATCAACAGGTTTGAAAGAATTTTCCATCCGGTGGCAACAATGCTCAAAAATTTCGTTTTATCAAGCATGAAAGTTTTAGTGAACATTTGGAAAGGTACTGTCTGGATTTTCAATTTGTTTGAATTTCATATTTCATTGAAGAAATTTTCGATTTGCCCTAATACCTTTTGATTTGCAAATGTATTATGTCTGTAAATCAAAAATGCATTTGAGAATTATCTTTGTAAATTAAAATTTACAAATGTTACGTGTCATCCCACTTTCTTTTAAAATGAGACAGAAGATATCTTGGTAATGTATCGTACCTTTTATGTTTACTTCAAATCTTTTTCCAAATTTGATTAAATGAAGAATTTTCAAAAAGCACCGCTTCATTTTAATTTCTATACTGTTGCATTCTTTTAACGGTCTCATTGATTAATAAGAGCTATTCATCTTCAAAAGTTAACAAGTTTGAAAGAAAAGAATATGAAAGTTTCGTGCAACTTTCCGTAGATCGCCTGCCCCTAACACTTTCATATTGCCTTTCTTCCATGTAACTCTTTCATTAGTTTAGAAAAAAACTATTATGAACATTGATGAAATAAGCAAAACCAATAAATGTGTTCAAATTTACATATCTCAAATAACGTTTTTTAGTAAGAAGCTATCATTTACTGTAAATTGCAATAAAGGAAAATAATTTATGTTATTATGACCTTAGTGATGTGAAAGATAGGATGACGATAATAAATTTTAGAAATTAAAGTTATGAAATTAATTGGAATTACATTACATTTGAGGTTAAAAAGTCTCAAAAAGAACAACTAATAAAAAAATTCTTAAATTAACAACTGAATTGAAATTAAGGCATAAATGATTGTTTTTTGGATTTTTCAATTTTTTTTGAACCATTACTTATTAATGGCATGTTCATTTACAAGTATACTTCAATAGTTCCCTTTTAGAAGAGTATTTGTTCATTAACATATAACTTTACTCACTTGTTGAAGACTAAAGTTTTCATGGATAGCAATAGTAATAATAATACATATAAAGTTAATTGCAAATGCTTTGTACTTAGGAGACCATTTATTTCCTAATTATTAATATAAATTGCATTTTCCAAACAAATTGTCTCACAAAATATTTTTTTTTTCTGAACGGAAATATGTCCTAATTTAGTTCATATACAAAAATTTCTGAGAAGAATAATCTATTCACTTATAAAGTTTTTTTTTGGTAATTTAACAAATTAAATGATATCATTGATATTTGCAGAGAACGAAACATATATCTTGTACTATTTAATTTGTTTAAATCATTTTATATCATGGAACTTCGTCAACTTCTTCTTTCTTCGAATTATTGCGATCAAATTGATTTTTCATTTTTCTTCTTCGGTTAATTTATGTTCAGTTAGAAATTAGGTTAAAATACTTGACTGTCACAAAGTAAAATGAATGAGTAATTTAAATTGGAAAAGCGTTCTTACATATAGCTTAAAACAATTTCGAGACTTTTATATAGCAAAAAATAATTGCGATATTAGCAAATTTTCCGGAATTAGGAAATCGGTGATCGAGAAATCATATGAATAATACGAGACCACCACTCCTTTACAAGTCTCCAAAAGTGGTATCTCACTCACTGTTCTGTTCATTTATTAAAATTCAAAATTTCAATTTGAATGGCAGATGGCAAGGTCGATAAGGTCAATATTAATTAAGATGCAAGGAAGTATTGCAGGCTGCAATATGGACGTGAATGGGATTTGAATCGTTTTCACCCTAACAATTGGCTTTCATAACTAAAATAATGCTTTTCTTTTCACATTTTTTTGAAATTTTCCTGTTTTAGAATACATTAAATTTAGCAAAATTGCCGCTTTTTTTGAAATTATTTAATTTCCATATCATTTCTTCATCCAAATAGCATCATTTTAAAGTTGTTTCATAAATTATAATTGATTTAAAAATTTGTCGTCTCAATTTAAATAGAATAGACACATTTATTGAAAATTCAGTACTGAACTTCGAAATTTCAACATTGCGCAAAGCAGTATCATTTTGCAATAGAGATTTTGATGCGATATAAATAGAACGCTAATTTTTAATTGTTATATTGTGAAATTGCGATTTTTTTCGATCGCTATTAAATATTAAATTTGTTTGTTTTACAGATTAAATGTACCAGGTATGATAATATTATGGAAAATTTGATGATTATGGCAGACGATGATGCACTGAATATACAGATTTTCATCCCAGAACTTCACATTCAGGTTTATTCATCCTTCATCATCGATCAACTCATCTTGAGACGTTTGAAATTCAAAGTTTGAAAAAAAAATTGATAACAAAGTTTTGGGCAAATAAGACGATAAGATGAACGAAAAATGGCAAATTTTTTATAAGACATATAACAAGCGATTTTTATACGCTTCAGAAAACAAATTTATATTTGCGAATGTATAAAATTAATGGTTAAATGAATGTTTAAAATGCTTTTTACATAACAAATTATCGGCCGATCGTATAAGTTTGGAGAAAGCCAATGTTAGCAATTGATGACAAAGTATGCATGCATACATGCATTTGATCCCTTTTGTTTGTTTGTTGAAGAAAAAAATTTCAATCTGATTATTTGATCATGGATAATCACTTTGCAGAAAAAGTAATACAGTACACAAATTTATGACATCAAATAGCCAATGAGCATAATAGTAATAACTATATGCATTTATTTTTGTACACACAGTGTAGCATGTAATTCTATTATATGTAGCGATAATTATACAAAAAAAAAAAAAATATTTTCAAAATTTCAATAAATTCCATTGTGATGAGAATTCTAAATAGAATAATGTATGTTTAAATTGTCTTGTTGATTGGTGGTGAAGTGGAAAGCATTGATGTGGAAAAATTGTTAAATTATAGAAATGTTTGGTGGTAAATCTTGATGAGAAAATTTGGGAAATCAAAGGACGGCTTGTCCAATCGCTTCAGAATGTAAGTTTTACATTGTATGTGGGTTTGGGTTTTTTTTTAAAATTCTTTTTTTAATTAATTTAATAATGCATTCCTGTTCCTTCGAGATTCTTTTTTTGGCATCCTCTCTCTATTCAGATTAACATTCCTTAATTGTTTCCGTATTCGTTTTCAGAAATTTCGGTTAATTATGAGAGATTATCAAAAACCCGTACATTAAAGAATACTTCGAAAAATCCATAATAATTCAAAATATTTTTAAATAATTTCATGATTTTATGAATTTGATGGTCTTAATTTCGAACAAATTCACATCTTTTTGTAATTTCTTCACGTAATCGTTCGAAAGATTATTTGGAATTGACGTAGATAACAATGCGACAACTAAAAGTTAAAGATGTCGGCAATTCTGCAATTCTTTTAATTGTTAACAATGGCTGGTAAGGTAAAAAAAAAAGGAGCTGATCTGGTGATTATTGATTTTTCTTTAAATAAATGTGTTACAGAAGTTACCTCAATTATTCAACTATGGCTTATTTCTGCCACCGTGCGATGGTCGTGCTGGCAAATTCCTGCTGGAAGACCGTCCGATACGTGAATATCCATTTCATGATTGTGTCCCTTATCTCGAGGTTATTTTCGTCCTTCAGTTCTAAATTTTGAGCAGAAATATTTGTTATATAATCGATATTTTAATAAGTTTTTATACAATAAATAGCTCAATAATTCTTTAGTGCTTCAGCTTTCGGTGTGGTTTTTTTTTTAATAAAAATGAATTGAAAAAAAATCGGTACTAGTAACAATAGTAAGTAATTTACAAACGTTTGAAATAAATGTCTGTTTGGAAAAATACCAAAATAATGACCTCTTATTGAAGTTTTTGATTTATTTTTTATTTCATTCTTGAATTCATCTCTTTCATAAATAAAATTTTGATAAATAATCAAAGTTTTTAATCATATCAAAATGGTGACTTTTAAGCTCAAATACAAAAAGCGGGTTTACAAAATGTTGAACATTGACGAAAAGCAGTTGGAAAAATTACATACTAAGGTAAATTTATTGGATTATTTTTGGTTGTGAAAAATTCTTTTTTTATTAAATAAAGTGAAAAAAGGCATAATTTATTCTGAACGAGTATTTTATCTTTTTTGTATGTTATTCTTTTTCTGAGCCATGTTCATATTTCAGTCAAATTTAAAAAAATTCATGAATCACATTGCTCTTGGACAGCTAAAAAAGGTGGAAGAAATGTGCAGTGCGGGATTTGATCCTAATTTTCATGATAATGAAGGAAAGACACCGTTGACAATGGTGTGCTCATTACCGCACAATGAAAGTTTTATTAAAACGCTGGTAGAACATGGAGCTCATGTTGATTTCCGAAACAGCGATGGACAGGTAAATTTACTGTAAAATTAGTTCAAGAGAAGCAGTGTAGTTTAATTAGTTTAATTATAACTATTTTGAAATATGAAGTCATATATTTTGATCAAAATGGAAATATAAATTTTGGCTACTTTAGCTATTAAATTTAAAATTTTTGAAATGAATTAGAATTTGAATTAGGTTAAAAGTTTTATTTATTAAATTTGCTTAACAATTGGAAATGCTCCATATTCCATTGAAACTAGCACAATTTTGAATTTCAAACAATATTTTGATAATTGGGTGCTATATGTGTTATCATATCAATAGCAATGCAGTCATATGCTAGATTTTGAAATATCAACAAATTAAAGTGACGATATTACTTAATGATATTTTATCCTGGAATATTTTGTAGACAGCAATGCATAAAGCAGCCTACTGGTCCTTGGCAGAAAATGTGAACTGCCTGTTAGAACTTGGCGCATCACCAAACTATCGTGATCCACTTGGCTTGACACCACTCTATTACAATATGCTGCAAAGTAGTTCGAAGTCATCAGTGGCTCAAATGTTATTATATAATTATTCAGATATTACTGTAACTGATTTGGATGGAAATCATGAAATACATCAGGTTTGTACTGTTATTTTTGTTATCAGTTTACTTTATGAACAATATTTTCGCATTGTTTCCACTTATTTTTAATATTAAATTAGGATTTCATAAATTAAGTTTCAGAGAATTTGGAAAATTTATAATCAATTTTTTCTGAGCATTTCATATATCTAAGTTTAATAAATTTCCGCTATCGCAGTAAAATTTATTATTGCTATGAAAGAAAAAAAGGGGAGGAGATTCTGTTTAATAAAGATTTCCATTTTCTAGCTACCGTATCATTCTCAATTATATCAAATATCTTAAAAATAAACTTCAAGAAATGATTCAATAACAATTTTTTTTTAAAATTTTTTTCTAAAATATCTTCTTAAAAATTTCATCTTTTTTCCCTCCATGAACGATACAAATGCTTGAAAATAGGATATTTTGTTGCGGGAGATGTTTTCTTCCGTCTAGCATTTTTCTCGTTGAAGTGGGAAAGGACTTCTTAAATTCTGCAATTTTTAATGACAGTTTGTTAAAAGCTGTTAATTACTACGAATGTTTTACACTCTTCTCGCTATGGATTTATTCCCTTACTTTTTATCACGAAATTCTCCGTTTTCATATCACATAAAATGATTGAATTAGTCAATCATTTTTTTACTATTCATTAGATTTAATCCAAAAACTCGTTCACTTTTAAAATTTGAAGTAATAACTTCAACAACGATATTTTCGTACGCATAATCTTGTTATTTTTATTATTAATATTAGTTTTGATGATAACGAGAGAGAATATTGCTTTGAGTATAAAAAACACCATTCCTCACATTCCTCTGTGATGTGAAGCATTGCACTCTGTGAATTTATACGTCGTAAAATTGCGCTCCCCATGGTAATGATAGGAAGTAGCTGTTGTTGTTCAGTTGAAATATTCGGGGAGAGGAAAAATGTGAAATTAGCTTGGAAGCTTCAAGCATGCATGTAGGAAAAATAGAAATGTTGACGAGTGAAGATGACCGATGAATCAATAAATAGATTATTTCTTTTTGAATTGATCTTCCATATAACCATTCACTTCTTGGCTGTTCCACAACCGAAAAATACAGTCACTAATTTTATCTATTTATCATAAATGCTAATAACTAAGCAATATTAGCATTTATGATAGATAATGTTAGTTGTGATAAAATCAGTCTTCATTAAAAAATTTATTTCCCTAAAGAAAACGGGAAGCTTTGTGAGCCATATCTGATAGTTGTCTATCTAATCAGGTAATAATTTTCTTTGGATACAATTAACAAAAAGATCCGAATTATTTTCATAAATAAAATAGTATTAATTATCCTGGCTTAAATTTCGATATTCAGCGAAGAATATAAAAAAATGTTTCCATTTTATTCTTCGATAAATATCATCATCCATGTATTATCATATGGATGATAATACTTGTCGAAATATTATCAAATACTGCAAAATATTGTCAAATATTGTCACAAATTTGTGACAAATATTATCACAAATTATCATCAAACCATCAACGCTTACTATCTCCCACTATCCTTTTCATTAACCAATTTTACATATCATTATTCTGTTCTATATCATCATTCCAATCAAAACTTTCTTTTTTTTTATTTCCCAAAAATCAACAATTTCTGCGAAGGTTATTCACCTGGTTCTATCTGTTCTGCCAAATATAACGACATTTCTTTATGAGAAAAAGCACACGCTCAGTTGCTTTTCGCATTCAATACATTTTTTTGCTCAAAAATATTTTTCTTTTTGTATATCCATGAAAATCTAAGACTGATTATCATTTGCATAATATATCTCTTGGAATCATCATTCATAGTTCACCGCGGATTACATTTAATGTTCAAATAAATTGTATTATTGCATCCTTACATTAAATGCAAAAATTATGGTTTAATCCTTTTTTCCCAATGTATTGATTCGTTTGACAATTGTAGAAGAAGTGGAATTACTGTGCAAAATACATAATAATGCATCATTGCTTCAATGAGCATTTGAATGCATTGACCTTTGGTTATTATGTCTTTTTTTTTCCTTTCTGTTAAATCAGTATTGTGCATTTTAAAGACAGACATTTTGTTCATTTAAGTTTCAAATTAAAAGTTAAATTTTTCTCAAATATGATGAACTCATAGATTCATACACTTTCCTGTAGTAATTCCTTTTATGTAGTAGCAATCGAAACTTGTCCATCAATCGATATTATGGCATTTTCAAAAGTTTAGACAATTTATGATTTTTTTTCTGTGGGAAGAAACGCTAAAAAGTAGTATTTCCTCCATGATATTATTCCTATAATGCTATTTACTTTTTTAAACTTCATAAAATTAGAGTTTAAAAAAAAGATTATTATAGGATGCAGTCAAAAATAAAGATAGACTTACTTCATTATTTTAGAATTTATTAACGAAGAAACAAATGACTGTTTCGTACAATAAGGAGGTGAAATGATTCAAATTTAGAAGTGTGATCGAAATAATTCTTGTATAGCTATTATTTTCTTCTCGATCTTGAGAATAAATGACCACATTTTACGGAAATTAAGAAAAATTGCTCAACAAAAATAATGCAGTTTTTTAAATGCATACTTTGTGTTGTAACCATTAAAAATATTGAGCAACTTTTACAAACTGGATTGAAATACATGGCGAAATTCCTTCTTTATTATTTACTTTTCTAATTCATTTTTATCTGTTCTTTCGAATTCAGTTATTTTGTTATTTCAATTTATTGATGCTAATTTTTATAGACAAAATTTAAAAAGTTTAAAATTAGCAAAATTCTGCTTTTTTCCAGGCATGCAAAAATGGTTTGGTGCAGCATGTTGATTATCTGATATACTATGGAGCTGAAATTAATGCACAGAATATCAATGGGAATACTCCGCTTCACGTTTGCGCCATCCATAATAAGTAATTGATTTTGAATGAATTTCTTTTCTCTCTTCTTTTCTAGATTTATATTTATGCCATTCCGTTTATAAATTATGAAATTTTGTGCTTCTGTAACATAAAAATTCGAATGAAATTTGAATTAAACAATTCGAATTAAGTATTTATTCAACAAATTAACTTTTTGTTAGTTTAAAAAGAATAAATGTGACTGCTTCTCACACTCTATCCTTACCAATTCAAGAAAAAAAAGTAAAGTTTTGTTAGCTGAAAATATTTCAGACCAAATTGCGCACGTTTATTATTATTTCGTGGTGCTAATCCGACAATTGTCAATAAGCAAAGCCAAACAGCATTGGATGTAGCACAGATTCTTGGTTCGCATGAAATAACGAAAGTTATTTTGAACCACGATCCTGTGTCCACTGGTTCGTTCCATCTCTTTGACAGATTGTTGATGATAGAATCGTCCTTCAGCGATCTTTGCTTTTATTAGAAACTTTCTGATACATTTAGGATTCGAATAAGTCGAAAAATTTTGGAATCTTGGAGGATATCACTTGTCCACTTCTTGGCCCATCTTTAGAACAAATATACCGAACATTTTTTAATTCTCTCATATCTAATCTTTTTCCAAAACAATCATAATATTAATACTGGAAATGATAAAATTGAATAAGTTTCTAAATCAATATATATATATATATATAAATTTTCAGTACCGTACAACATAAAGCCGACTTTCAATCCTAGAAGGCGTTCATCAATGTTACCATCCAGTCAACGATCCTCAAGTCAGGCATCACTTTGTAGCAGTGAATATCGATCTATGGTAAAATTTTTGATAAAATAATTCCAATTCTACATTGGAACAAAATTGTAAAATGTCAGTAATTTATATGTGAATTATACACCTGTATTATTAGCATTATCAAACTTTTCGCTCAAACTTTGCTTAACCCATTTAATGCTAAACAAAGTAGAATAATGTGAAAGTTAGTAACTCATGTATCAATAGCTTATAAAAATATAAAATTACATTTGTAGATACCAGCTAGTCCAACACCAAGTCACATATCAATATCCAGTCATAAAACATGCCCAGGAGATGTTGGTGGTGGATACAGTACCATGCGACGATATCCAGCTTATCCATTGCTCAACATGAATGGTTTTGAGTATGTTTTTTATATTCGATCAAACATTTTCTGAATATTTATCTCATTCCGACTTTTCGGCTACAATGACTAAATGTGATATAAAAACAAAATGAAATAAAATTTTTTTTCTTCTCTAAATTTTATACATCAGTCAATCAAGCCCAGATAATCAGACTGATTGAAAACCTAATGAAATAATATGACGGCAGTTATTCTTTAATAGGCCTTGCTAAGTATTTAAACATTATATCAAATAATCGAATAGTTCCAATCGTTCAGTGATACTCATTTGATAGCTAAGTTTGTTTAAGTAGATTTGTCAAGCTTATCAAGCTTATACAAGTCATACAAAATTGATTTTGAAACAGGAAGAGAACCGGAAACAGTAATTATTAATTGCAAGAAACATAGATCTTTCTGACTGGAAAAATAAATGATAGTCATTCTAAAATACGCTCAAATCCACGAAATCAAAGGAACTGTTCAACTTCTAGCTGAATAACATTGCAGTGATATTAATTATTGATTTTTGAAAATTTTTTCTAAAAGCATTTTTCACACATGAAATCAAATCAAAAAATTATGTAATTCGAGCGATTGCCTTGTTTTTTTAATCTGTGAAGTGAAATGGATAAAATCAGTTATTTTATATCTCACAAAGTTTTATTTACTGAATTTAACAGTATGTTTTGTTTACAGAGTGAACATACCACGTACCGTTGTAATACCACGAGATGGTAAGGGAGGTTTTGGATTCGTTTTACGCGGTGCTACAAGTTTGTTCTCTCTATTGTTTAACTGGTTATTCTTGAGCATGCATACTTTTGATGTACAGTAACTGGAACATATTTATTTTAATTTTGAAATGAAATAAAAAAAGTGAAGGCTTCAAAATGTTAAATTTTGAATAAAATTCAAACAAGAGCGCAATGGAGAAAAATATTTTAAAATTAAAAGTGATTTGGTGCGGATCCAAATTGAGTTTAACTTCTAGTGATCTTGAAATTAATTAATTCTTTATGTTCAGAAGCTGGGAATTTCACTCCAACATTGTGTAATCCAGCATTGCAAAAATTCGAAGGAATTGATCTGCAGGGAATGGCCATGAAAGCTGGTCTAAGGCCCGGTGATTTCTTGCTTCAGGTAAACGATATTGATGTGCACAGAACACCGCATGATCAAGTTCACAAATTAATACAATCATCAGGAGATACTGTGACATTAAAGGTGGGTTGAATTTTTCTCGCAGGTTGGATTTTTTAGGAATTTTCATTACTATTAGCAGTCTCATTTCTAAGATAATTATCAGGTGTAAGAAACAGGAAGTATTTGCAATGTTGAACATTTCATTTCGGATTTCTTTTCTATTATCAAAAAGTAAAATTAATGTTAAGATGCAAATCACAACGCGATAAGCTTTTCCTTATCAGCCGAGAAAGGTAACAGAAAGCATTATAGAAGAAAGCCGAAAATTTTAAATTAATGTTCCTTATTATATGTTTTTATGAAACAATAAATTAAATTGATTTTATTTAGGTGATTACTGTTGATCCTGGTTCATTCAATTTTCGGCCCGTTCATACGATGCCGATGAATATTTCTCGCACAGGTTGGTAGTTTTTTTAATTTGAAATTTTTTAAATAATTGAAATCAGTTTATTTATATCAATCAGATATAGCATGATGTTTAAAGTACATGAAGCACGTATTGGTTACTTTGTTTACTTCAGTTTTATCTTAATATTAATCTTTTTTTATTTATTTTTTAATTTAAAACGGAACAACATTTTATTATCTTATTTGCGTACTATGTTATGAATAAATATTTGTTAGTGAATGTAAAAAAAAAGAAAAACCAATTATAGATCAAAAAAGCATTCAGTTGCATCATATTTTCTAGTTCTTATGGTGGTTATTTTTATGTTTTGAATTTCAATGCTTATTTTAAGGTCATCCCTTAGCATGAACTTGACGGTGACGGAAAAAAATTATGCAATTTTATACAAGGAAACGTTTTTGTCTTTCATGATTGTGTTTTATAGGTCAAAGGGGTATTTGATGCAAAATACATAGTGATTTGCTTAAAATACAATAGCACATATGATCGGATTAATTAGCAAATGTTTTATACAGTATGATCTCTGAGTAAAATTAGCATCTCTTAAGAAAATAATGTAAAAAAAAACTTTGTGAGGAAAGTATTTCATCGGTTCCAATATCATTCTTTTGTATTAGCTGTATTCTTCCAATATTTACTTTCACTTCAAAAATTGCAAAAGTGATATGAACACCAAGTCAGCATGCTTCTGTTGTGCATGTAAACGCTTATAGTTCGAGAATATCGTCCACCAACATTGTCACAGCACAAAGCGGACATCAGCTATTCATTGCCACACCGAAATCGTCGTCTTACAAATTTTCGCTTTAACGGTAAATTCATTTTACTTTCATTATTTCAACCAAATTTTCGACAATCGATCTTCTCTTCTAAAAGAAGTCATGATGAAATAATCATTCTAGCTTAGAACAATGCGAGCATTTCTTTTACAATTTGAATAGTATTCGGAAAACAGTTTCAGAAACCTTTCATTGAGTATTGTAATTCAATTACTTTTATAAATTTATCTTCTCAAAAACAGCATAATATGACTTTACTTCACAAAAATATGAAGTAAAGTCACATTTTTGAACATATTTAAGGAATGCTTGAAAAATTAGTTGCACCTTTAATGTTGCTTCCGTTGTTTGTTGCTTCTAACCTTTCCCGCTTTGAATTTTGATTTTTGAAACATCTTCTAAAAGATTATAGACAGATATGAATATCGATCTGAGAAAATGATTTAAATTAAAAGTCATAATTCAGTCTTGAAAATGTTAAAAAGATCTGATTGTACCGCATGTTCAGCTTCATATTCTATTCCTGTCATTATTGTATGAGTGTTATCTTTAACTGTGTATCGTTTGCTTGGTTCCAGTCTATTTCAAAGATCTATAAAGTGTGAAAAATTCTTGCATGAATTTTAAAATATATTTAATTTAAAATTTTTTTTCTGAAAAAGAGCTTAAAAAATGCTAAAAGACAGAGTAGAAGAAAGTTCTAGCATTTACATTGCTTGAACAAATATTCAACTTGAAAAAATCAGCATTTTAAATCTTCCATATTTGCTTATTACCATTCTTGGATTTATGGTTTTTATTATATTTGATTAAAGATTACATTTTACACTTCTCCATTTATCATTGAAATTCATTAATTAAATCCTAACTCTTGTATCGGACATATTAATTAATTAGCAATAGTTGATAAATAATAATGTTAAATGAGAGTTAATATTTTTCTTACTGTTAAATTTTGCAGGTAACAAAGGTGATATGTACGGCTATGGTAATAGTATGTTACCTATACACTCTGCTAAATCGGTAGAAGCATTAAATCATGGCAATTATGAGCGCTTTGCATCTGTAAAGCAACGAATCAATGGTTCGAAACGTATTTCAATGGAAGAATTGGAACGACTGATGGAACGACAAGGACAGGGCACTTCACAATTTCAACCAATTCCCATACACGAGGTTCCCTTTTTTTCACTTTCTTCTTTCACCTCGCTGATTTCATTAATTTTTTGAAATAGCACCGCCATTTTACATTTTTCACGTCTCAACTTCCCATTTTATGGTATTCCATTCCAGAGAGAACAATTTATAATTTTACAAATTCTTTTCGAATATTTATTTCTTGTTGAGCAATATGTGCTTGGAATTCATTGTAGGATTCACTACCAAACGGAAATGGTCTGAAGTTTAGTTCGGTGAATGATCTAAAGCGCTATAAAAAAGGTGGTTTGCACCGAACCACTTTACCGCCAATAACTGCTAATGAGCATTGCGCTCCTTCAATAATGCAAAGCTTTAATTCTTCACCAGGTTATTATTTAATATTTCTTTTCTCTTGACATTAACTTTCTGAAGTTTTCAAGAATTAATTCAAGTGCGTAAAATGAAATATTTCTTTTTCGTATTTGAGTGACAGAGTTATTTGGCTTTTGTTTGTTGGAAATTTTAACTTATAGTAATTATTTTTGGTAGAATTTAGTGTTTTTCAATGACCCTTCAATAATATTCGGTAGTTTACCTAGTCTGCATCTTTTGTGAGTACTAATTACATAATTTATGTATCGGTAATTATTAACTGTCATTTACTGAATAAATTCAGACCACTTTTTCCTTTCCAATATATCACTCAGATTATCATGACAACTCAAATTTCAATACTTTAAAACTGTTTAAATTTCAATCTCTTAAATTTTGCATTGTTTCTTCGTTTTTCATCCTCTGTTGTAGATTTGCCTCGATCAGTGGATGATGAACCGTCTTCGCTGACTTCATTTAATAGACAGGTCACATCAGACTATTCACGACCTTTTAAGCCCATCGACCGACCCAAAACACCACCACCTCCACCACCTCCACCGTTATTTGATAACTTCACAACATCATCCTCGAGTGGAAGTAATACTTTGATGAATAGTATACCTCCGACAGTAACACCGTCCAACGTGAGCGCTTCACGTGCAGAAGCACTAGCAGCTTCACTTGGAATCGAAACAGTTCCCTCACCTTCACCTCCACCACCACCACCACCACCCCCTCCACCACTTCCACCTCCACTACCACCATCCATGCCTCTATCCGCTGGGACAGCAACAGTGAAATCTGTGGTATGTATTCTTGTAAGACTACAAAATTTTGTCCCGGATATTAATTAAATTAATTAAATGAGTATTCCCTCAATGGGATAATATAAGGGTATAAATAAATCGGTTATTTTCAACAGTTTTTGAGCCATATACGGAATTCCGGATTCCTCTGAGTGTGAAGAACTTCCTGGTTTATTCTTCTTGGTTAGTTAAACTAATTTTCAGTCTTTTAAAAATGATGCTAAACATGGTGATTCTGAATCGAAGGAAACGGGAACCCCTGCTATCAGTTCTCCAACGATTAGCAATGAAGTGTTATCAACGGTAAAACTGAAACCTACCATACGACGTGAACCAGCTAACTATTGCGCAACCATACCACGTGGATTTGATTCTGATCTACGTAATGCACTAGCAAAAAGGAGAGGCAAGGCAGGCTTTTATGCAATAAATCATGAAAATACTTCTATTTTGTATGGTTTAATTATTTTTAATTAAATTCTCATTATATCATGGAGAAATTTAGGTTGCTCAAAGTAGCAATAATGATGCATCGAAAAAAGTTGTTTTCTTACTGGAGAATCCTCCCGTAGCTACAGTTATCAGGTTTGATATATTTCAAATATTTTCGATATTATCTTAGTGGAAAGCTTTTTTCAAACTTTCGAGATTATGATGAGATCTGCGTAGTTACCCTCCTCAGATGATTCCATTCTAAAAACCCGAGAGGTCAACCATTTAGGACGAGAAAGGAATATTCTGTAAAAATAAATGACTTTGTAGCAGCTACGGTGGATTAAGTTTGTCTGAATCAGTTCGACAAAACGTACCAAGTTCAACAAAATGGAAAGTTGGAAAGTCAGAGCATTCTCCAACGAGCATTGCATCGAAAAAAGATAGTGGGTGAGACGATCTGCTAAAATGTTTATGTCTTCGATATTCCCGTAAGTTGCGCCAGCATCATGTATCTGTCATGTATTTTGAAAGATACCAATGATGAGTTTTGTTTCAATTATTTCGAATTTTTATGATTTTAGCAATTTTCGTTTTCAGCTATACATCGTCGCGTACTTCGCTTGAACCATCAGAATGTGGTGAAGATACGGGATCAGTAGGTGGTGCTACCGTAATAACGATACCGGGATCTGTGAAACCAACCACTAATGTATCTGTTACCAGTTCGACATGTCATGTTTCATTAATTAGTAATCAATTTGAGGAAAACTGTAGCTCAACGTATACCAGAAGAAGCAGTTGTTTACAGCAAGTAGCACCACCACCACCACCTTCGTTGCCACCTCCACCTGTTCAACAGCGACCGCAAGCTGTCAGTGATCATGATTCGGTAAGTATAATGTAATTTTATACCTTCAACTGCCATTCAATAGTTCCCCTCAACTGTTTCTTCTTTCCCTTTTTGCATGTTTTTACTGGACGCAACGAAATCGAAAGCTTGTTCTTGTGTATGTTAATAAATCATCGCATGTTTCTTTCCCGGATACAGGAAAATTTTCCTGATCCACTGCTATTATGCATTTTGCAAATCAATTTTTGTCTCTAATTTGAAATAAGTTTTCAAAAATCAAAAGTTCATGCAGTCTTTGAAAGTCTTTTCTAATATGGTCATTCTGGAGAGACCCATTTTTGAATGTTTTCAATTTTTTATTTTTAATCTTTCTCAAGGAGGAAGGTCGAGAAAACTTACTGGTAAAATGAAAATTTGAGCATTATATTGATATAAGTTAAATAACTTAGATTAATTTTATGACTTATTCTGAAGATAGTGTTAGGCAGAAAGTTTGATTGAAGCTGTATATCTGTCAGTGTGTAACCGAAATGTGCAAAGGATTATTTTGTCGTGACACATTTGAACTTTTCAATATATTAATTTTTCCCTTTTTCCAGTAAAAGAACTTCTTTGTTCAATTTTATCATCCCTTTTTCTTATATTCTGTATGGCATTTGAATTTCTCTCCAGATGAGCTTGAACTCCACGCTGTCGACGTTGAGCGGACAGTCATTATCGGATCGTCAACAACGGGCATCGTCTATTACTCTCCTGTCCTCTCACAACAAATCCTCAGTAAGTTCACCGACTAATTGCAACGATGATGAACCGGACAGCGGTACCGGAGATTCCGATAACGAGCCTACGGCTGAATCCAGTAAGCTGCACAGAAATATATTATTATTTCATTGCTGTTGTGTATCTGCTTGCCCGTCTTTCTTTAGTGCTTTCGATTCATTAAAAAAGCTTGCCATTCATCCTCTGATAATTTTGGAGAGTTGTAATGTGGTATTGAACACACAACTCAACGATCAGTTCTGTAATTTAGAATTATTTCACTTTTCGGAAAGTTTCAACATTTTTTTCCATTCCGTTGCCTTACTCCTTTGTGCTTTTTTTGTATGACAGTTTGAAAATGTCTGTATGACAAGTTGAAAATTTGAAAAAATTTCTCTAAATTTTCTTCTTCCTGGCATTTATAATGCTTTATTTGGAAGTATATTTTAAACTGAAAAATATGAAACCTTAAGATAGTTTTAGAGTTCAGCTTAATTTGGTACAATAATGTTTGCAGGTAATCACGCAAATTCATCTATAAGTAACAATTTTGTCGATAAACAAGTGGCAAACTGGACAACTGATGATATTGTTGCATGGTTAAAAACATTGGGTCTTTCGGAACATTCCCGGAAATTTCAGCAATTTCAAATTAGCGGCGCCCATTTGTTGTCTTTTGATCGATCGTTGTTAACGCAACTCGGTGTCACACGCATCGGTCATCGACAATTGATTGAACGGTCATTGAAAAGTTTGATGGAGCAACAAATATAAAATTAAAAGTGCTAAAATTGATGTATTGAAAAAGTCTCGAGTTAACTATTGAGTGTGATAACTAATCTTTCTTCTCTGTAGAAAATTTGGCTGTGCATTTTTGATTGCGAGCTGTTCAAATTTTGATAAATTTGAAATCGTAAATATTTGCTTCAGAAATAAGAACAGAGTGAGACATTTTGTTCATTTCTAATGTAAATTGTTTTGTTTTACGAGACAATTTTCTTCTTGCTTTACAATCAGTTGTATTCATCCATCCATGCAGAAGGAGGAAAAGTTGAGGGAATAGTTCAAGAAAATTGTTTCAAATCCTAAATGGAAAAATTAAAGCTTCTTTTGTTGGACATTGTCCACTTTACTAATACACTTTTGTAATTTGGAAATACCCACTCACAGATTAACCTTTCCCACTTGCTCCAGTTCCACTTCCTGCGTAATGTTCTAAACATTTTATTTCTTGTTACTTCGAAATGTGAAATGAATGCATATTATTTAGTTGTTGTATCAACTGTTTTTCGAGTGATTTATTCAATCGTTTTCCTTTATATGTTACTAAAATGGTTTTGATTGGAAATTCAGAATTAAAAAGAGAACTCATTGCTGTGTTATTGAGTTTTGAAGCAAATATTTGTAATCCATTTGAGTTTTGCACATTTCTCGTACTGCTACTCAAAAGTAAAAGTTGCAGTGTGATGAATAAGAATCTCAGAGGAAACTTGCTCTGGAAGAATACAGAATTTTATAATTCTTACTTATTCTCGATCTTGAAAGTACATTGAAAAATGCTGAGTAGTTGTTCATTACTTCTCAATAAAGTTATAATTGTGCATGTAGCCTAACTTTCATGATCGTTGAACACTTCGACAAAATTATATTTAAGAAAATTTATAACAAAATTTTAAAATTGGAGTGGATTTTGACAAGCAGTAACTTCCCGTTTTATAATATTTCTTTTGTCTAAATGTCAATTTTAGAAAAAAAAAACAACTATTTGATCATATCATTCAGAAAACTGAAGAAAACGAACTAGCATAACTTATTTCAGAAACTTCCTGAAATGAATGAAACAGGAAAGGAAACAGGCGCGTGTAAATATTTTGCAATTTTTTGGCAAAAAAGAATTAGATAGTCGAAATTAGATAATGAGTAGATACGCGGATTAAAACAGTAATAAAAACAACAATACCAGGATTAAATAGCAATTAAAACAGAATTACTGAATAAAAACAGTGAAAAGTACGAGATACCGGAATGTTGGTTAATATAATTTATTGATTTTCATTTTTAATTTTCTTCTAATAGAAGGGAAAAATGCGCTAAGAATAATATAATATGTTCAGCATTCTTCGATATTAAAGAATGGAAAAATTTTTCTTTCATATTACAATAAACTTAAAAATTGCCATTTCAGCCACATTGTCAGTTCGACAAAATAAACAATGAATTTACATTGCATTTGTTGAAAAATAATTTTCATAAAAATTTCAATTTAAAAATTTTTGATGTATACGATTTAATTCCATATTTTATTGCGCTGTTAATAATCGCATTCATATTATTATTTTTTGAAATGGAATAAATAGGCTGACATGGATAATTACAGGAATACAATTTTCTTCAGTTAAAATCACAGTACTGCATCTTCATCATCAGTTAAAGTTACGCCGTTCGGTATATCCAAAGTCCACTACATGTGAGTATACGATTAAATTTGTAATTATAATTTGAATTTATGGTTATAATTTAAGTTTCCAAAATATCTTCTCGTCCAGCGCGAAAGAGCCGTAAAAATGATATTTCAGCTTTTTCAATAAAAGGGGCGAAATTTTTTGCTTATCGTTCGATAAATAATTGAAGTATACAGCGTTATTCGATTTACATTTTATTACGTATTAAATTAAAAAGTCTTGACGATCTTTGATAGCAGCATGTAATTGGAGTCTTGTAAACTATCGATGGTGCAATGATCGAATTTTATTTGTTTACCTTTTGTCGCACACTCCTCCCTTTTCCGCTTTGCTCACCAAACAAATATTCAATTTATTCGTTTCCTGTTGGCGGCTCATTTCCAGATTATAGTGATGCTATGTAATGCGATAGTTGAGAGAATGGAGAGCGGAGGATCATTTTATAAAGTTATCTAAATTTTGAAAACATATGCTTCTTTTATAATTCATACTATGTTTACGACAGAATTAATCGCTTAAATAAAAGCTAAGATTTATAATTTCTTTATATAATGTATAAAAACTTTTGCTAAGCATTTTGCTTATGATGCATTAAAAGGATTGCATTTTACTTGATTGGAAATATTTTAAAGGTAGTATTCAAAGTTAACCTGTTCCAATCTCGAACGTTACATGAAATAATTTTAGTAATGCAGTTCTAATTATCAATATTGAATGATAAATTTGATGATAAAAGTGGAAATATCAAAGAATGTGAAGATTTCTACAACAATTTGCTGCAAAAACATTTGAATGTGTAAAATTCAAAAATATTTCAATATTAAGAACATTACATATTTGGATTTATCTGCAATCATTAATATTTTTACCATTTGAGTGGAATGGATTTGTTATAAATATGAGAATTAGTTTTGTAAATCAGAATTTGGTGATTCTTTTTTATTGCTAAAAAATAATAAGTGGTACTCATACTGATAACAAAATCCATCTTAAAATCCAGTAATTTCAGTAAAAATAATTGATCGTACGAAATTTGTGCTAACGTTGACCTATTCCATTATTTCCGTCTTCTTTTTAATTGCATAAAATAAATTTTTCTCTAATATATGCGAGAAATTAAATTTGCCAGAAATGAAATGAAGCAATAAAATTGACGATGAGTGCCCAAAAAAGTAAACAGCGGCATGTTTGAAGTGTTGAAAAATGATGGATTTGATTATTACTTTTTTTACTTTCTTCGATCGTATAATAGCTGTGATACTAGTGTTATCCTAAGTGTTAATGGTATATTTAATCATTGTAACTTTAAATGAACACTTTGAAATATAATGTCTGACACCTGTAAATGAGACTTATTGATTGAAGTATTATTAAGCATAATTTAAAGCAGACCAGAGCTTAGTCCATCATATGTACGTCAACACAAATATAATAACCCTTACAATTTGATGATTTCTTTTGGTTTTGAGAGTAAAAGTACGACATTAAACGAAAAATTTATTTAAATATTTTACCGACAATTTATCACCGATAATTTATCACAATTAATAAACAACAATGGAATAAATTCATAATCATGAATTCAACTCTCTACATGTTATGTAATCTTCATTTAAAGTAATTTGTCATAATTTGACTAGAATTTTTTTTATTTGAAAAATAGTCTCTGATGGATTGAAAACTAATTAATTTTTCTCTGCACTTTCATTAGAACTTTCGTGATTTTTTACGAAATTTATATTTATCACAAAAAAATTTTCGCTTCACCCAGATGTTACTTCAAAACATTAATCTTGCATCTCTTTTCCTCTCTCTCTCCATCTCTCTCTCTCTCTTTGCCTGCATGATCTTTATTTGATATTTAAACTACAGTTAAGTGATAAATTTCGAAGAACAAGCGAAATGTTCTTTCTATGTAAGTCTTCAAATCTTGAATCTTCTAATTCCTTATCTTTCATTCCTACTTTTTCCACTCAAAGCAGTTCGCTTTCAAAAATCAAAGAATTTTTATTGAAGGATTGAACTGCAGAGTGATGTGCATAAAATTATCGCTACACAACCTTATTGTCATCAATCAATTAGTTTCCTTCAGTTCATTCGTTCATGCTTACTCGAAGAGCTCATCACCGTCGATATCTGCATCATTAATTCTGGACATGCATCGATTTGACTTCCATTCTCTCCAACCATTTCCATCGACTATTTGTATTCATCAACAGTTTGGTGCATCTTTTCCTTCCACCCATCCTCCATCCGCAATCGGAATCGGATCGTATCGTCTTTCTCACACTTCACTTCCCTAACCAAATTTATATGTATTCTTTTCATCCACTTCGGCTCACCAACCAACCAGCCGGCCACCTTCGATCGATTTTAAAAATTGCAGATCGATTTATATAAACTCTAAGCAAAACATTCTGATTAGTTAGAATTGTTTATTGCCACTCGTTAAGATTTTACATCTTCTTCGTTCCCTTAACTCTCTCTGAAAATGAAAATTTGCTACTTGACGTCAACACTTTTTCCATTTACAGTTATTTCAATATCAGCAAAGATTGCCATATGCATCAATTGAGCATTATCAATTGTACAACAATGCCAAGACCATTTATGCATTTAGCGATGAATTAGGATTCTATTTCCAATTCTCCATTTTGTGCCTGATTCATGCTTCTATAAAATTAATAGAATGTCTCTATCAGCAAGCATGCTATCAAACCACCCCCGTGATTCACACATTCGAGGCAACTTCTCTTCAAATTCTGTGTTTTCAACTTTTCTAAAAATGCAATTTATACCTGTTCTTGAAATAATTATAAACAGTTGAATATGTTTTTCAAATTACACTGCCACATGGAATAAATTTTTGAATGCTACACATTTTTAATGTCATGGAATATTAAAAGCTTGGCTTTGGTTTGTTCCGCATTCCTTCCAAAGGTTGCCGCTTATTTAAGTAGTCAGATTGAATAACATAAGCCATTCTTTCCGATCATATAAAAAATGCTGAACTTAAGAGAACATTGTAAATCTGATCAACGCTTCGGCTTTGATGCCAAATTTTACTGCTTTTGAAACTATTAAAATTTGCTTGTTAGTTCTGTTCTTATGTTTTACTCGTCCTTTTTTCAACGCTTTTAAATCTTGCATTTTTCTACTTCTCTATTTTACAATGCTTCACAAATACAACTAATAATTTTCAAGTATATGTAATTTACTTCACAAATATTGTTCATTTTAAACTTCTCCGATTAAATTTTCGTTTAATCAATAAATATCCCACCTGTAAAGTAAATTAATTTATTTCGACAC